GGGTCTTCATATTTAACTAACTTTACTCAGTGGAAGATTCATCCCACTGACATATCCAGTTCAAATCAAATTGTTTATACTTTCAAAAGAAAAAAAAATGTCAAGATAGATTTTATTGTATGTAAAAAAGATTTAATTTATTTTACTTTGAAAAAATATTGCACTTTTTACAGAAAACATATAAACTCGGATTTTGAACCTAGCTGACATCAAAGTTTCATCAAAGACATCTGCTGACATAAAATTCTGGCAAGTAGTTTTAACTTTATCAATTAGGACTGGGTTTGGCTGCATATAAAAGAAACTGAATGTGCCATTGTAGGTTCGTCCTCATTTGAAAAAAATAAAGTACTATTCTGGTGAGTGATGTTGATAAGGAGGGAGGCTGTGTATATATCAAGGTGGGGAGTATATGGGCAATCTCTGTATCTTCCTTTTAATTTTGTTGTAAACCTAATGCTGCTCTAAAATAAATAATGTCTCAAAAAGTGAAAAAAAACCCTTAAAATAATATTTTTTAAACCAAGGTAAAAGTTTATTTTTCTTCTCATGTAAAACAAGTCCAGACATAGAAAGCCTAGATTTGGAAAGATGGTTTCACAAATGACACAGACTCCTTCCTTTAGCTGCTTTGCCAACTTAGCACATGCTTCCATGCTCAAGGTTACCTCATGGACTAAAATAGGCTTCTGGTGTTCCATTCATCACATCCAAATTCCAGTAGGAAGGAAGAAAGTGGAAAAAAACCAAAGTGCCAATCGCTGAGCTAAGTTGGCATCGTTTAAGCAGCCTTCCCAGAAGTCCCTTGTAACATTTATACTTACATATACTTGGCTAGAACTTAACCATATGACTATACTTAACTGCATGCAAGTTTGGGAAATGGATTTTTTTCTCTGAGCACATATTAATGTCCAGAATGAAATCCAAATTCAATTACTAAAAAAGAAGAGATTGGGTGACAACTCAGTCTGTGTCACATCCACTATGTTATATGTGATGTTTTTGTGGGAAATGTCATGCAGCCATTAAAAATAATGAATAAGAGCTATGCCGATTGACTTGGGGTGTGTGGCAGGGGAGGATTTCCACAAGGATTGCTGGGTGAGAAAAGCAAAAATGTATAAAAGTGATAAAATATGATACCATTTTTGAATAACATAAAGCAGCAAAAATCTCTACATATATGTATGCAAATGATATATAAGTATATGAATTTGGGAAATTGCTGAAGGATACTCAGTAAGTTGTCAATGTTTTTTTTCTGGGCAAGGGGAGAAGGGATGACTATCTTTGTGTCGTTCCATTGTTCCACTTGTTATGATAGGCATTTTTGTAAATGTTTTAAAATGTTTTAAAATGTGGAGCAGCTTCCAGATCCAACCTTCAAAACACTGCCTGCCATATATGAAAATTCACAGTAAGCAAGTCCAGGTTGGAGTCTATCATAGGGGATCCTAGTGAAGAACTTAGGCCCTCAGTACAGTTTACCTAAGTTGTTTTAAATTATTTATTTAGGGAAATTATTTACTTAGAACATGTGTTAGCAAGTCATAGTTAACCTTTAAACATGCAAGCACTTCCTTTTTCCTCTTCCAGGGTCAGCATCCAAAGGCATTCAGAATGGTCCAGTGTTTGACCTACCATCCTAGGCTGTCCTACAATACAGCCTCTAACAAAACTAGGCTGCCCGGAACCCCTGATAATAGAATCATTTACCTTTATACCAAAAAGATTGGGAAATCACCAAAATCTGCATGTGATGTTTGCCCAGGCCAACTTCGAGGAGCTAGTGCTGTGAGACCTAAAGTGCTTATGAAGTGGTCTAAAATGAAAAAAACACATCAGCAGGGCCTATCGTGGTTCCATGTGTGGTAAGTGTGTTCGTGACAGGATCAAGCATGCTTTCCTTATTGAGGAGCAGAAAATTGTTGTGCAAGTGTTGAAGGCACAAGCACAGAGTTAGAAAGCTAAATAAAAAAATGAAGCTTTTTTTGAGTAATAAAAAAAATCAAAAGGCAACAAAAAAACATGTGTTAGCTACATAATGTTAGAAAGAACATTGTGTTCTTTTTGAACTAATGGATGTTAACCAATGTTTATAAATATTTAAATATGAATGTAAGGCACAATAATGTCACAATAGATCTTTGTGAATTATCTGGAATACTAACATTTATGAAATTAAACAAAATAACCTTTATGAATTGTATTTAATGTTTACCTATTTAATTCCATTTAGGCCATGAATCTTTCATGAAAAAGTCTTGTTTGGGAATTAGTCACACCTTGCAAGAATAAATCATTCCGTCAACTTGGCTTCATCGAAATTTCATGAAGAAAAACCTTCAAAATCATGTACAACAAATCATATTATAAATTATATTTGATCCAGACATAATAAAGAATATGAAGAGCATGAAAAAATAAAGAAAAATAAATTAATTCCCTACCTACCTGAGCTGACTGTCTATTTGGCATGGAAAATGTCCAGTGTAGTGACCTAAGAAAAAAGCTAGCAGCTGGCAATGCTGAGACACTATTGTTCCAGCACTACAAGGTCAAAATTATTTTCAATGACTATTTAACAATGATATCATAATAATTTTTAAAGTAAAATTTCAGATTTAAATTTATATCTAAATAGTTCAACCAATAATGGCAATATTTGTTTTCTGCCTTGGTTGTGGCCAAATATTGATTTTCTAATACTAGGTCATTGACCATCAGACCAAAAAGTATTCATTGGAAAATGTCCTAGTGGATAAACAGTGATGCTTGACTGCAAACCTCAGGAACATTAATATGCATAATAACGACTTGGGAAGATTGTAATAAACGTCACTTCCTTTCTGAATAGTATTCCTATCCTTCAATACATGTTCTGAGCCAGAAATGGGCATTTTAAACAAGCAACAAGAGCTTTTTCTGCATGTCTCAGGATCATGTTTTGAGAAATACTGCTGTAACAGAAAACTGTTTTAGACTTGGTAAACACTGTTATAGACTGTTTTCATGTTTGTGAAATAAAGATCTGGTATGCAAATGGCACTGTCATATACATAGAGCTTGGAAAGTAATTATGCTGTAGTTTAATACATTTAAAAAAACAACAACGACTAGAATAGGACTCACATCTCTATTCCTGCACCACATTTTTTCTCCCTAGTTAACCTTAAAAATCGAACCAGTTATTTTAAGCCAGTTATTTCACCAAGTAAAAAGATGGCGTTATTCAGGAATAGCAGACAATTGCAATACCAGACAAGTGAGCTGCAGCACAACTACAGGCAAATCTGGGAAACAAAGAGGTACTGCTCTTTTACAAGATAATCAGGGGGTTTGAAAGACTGGTATAAACAAAAAGACCATTGGAGTAAACTGAAAACTTGTAGTGGCTTCTCATTGGCCAAGTTGTGACCGTCTCTCATTGGCTGGGCTGTTGGCGGGGCATTGGATAAGGAAAGGCTTTCTTCCTCCTGCTGAAGTAGTAAAGTAGTATCCACCTACAAGGTCAGTCTCTTCCTGTTGGGTCTGTTATTGAATAAGAGTAGTAGGGTGTGAGAGTTCTTTCTGCCCAGTATGACCAATGGAATGGAGTTGGTAGATAAATCTGTGAAACTTTTTTTTTTTTTTAACTGTTTTGCAAGACGAGGCTGGTATAATTTCTCTGTGGTGGGAGTATAGCTGGGGTCGGGAGTTGGCATGCAGGAATAAAGAAGAATAAAACTGGAAAGCAGTGAGTAACTATACTCAAGAACCATGAATCCAATCCTATAATAACACATTACAGCTTCCATCCCTAAATTTATTTTCAGTGAAATAAAAGCACCCATCTAAGTGACGTTGTGCTGGGAATCAGGACATGAGAATCATTATAGAATATCTTAGTTCCAATTCCATAAACCTGTACCTTGAAATAAAATCCCAAATGCAAATAATACATCTCAATCACCTTGTAAATCACTTTTCTGTATTGGTTCTTTCTCTCAATCGTTAGCCAAAACTAGATCTGGGACAGATTCCAGGCCAGGACAAAAATGCAAAATTTTATTCTCCCCATTCTTTGATTATCTTGCTCTGAATTGAAGCGGATGCTTGGCAATTAGCTGCTGGGGAACAAATTTTTCTGATTAACTCTTCATTAATGGAGTTGACCAAGTAACTTGTAAACTTTCGGTCATCTTTTTCCCTTCCTATTACTGGAGTCCAGCGTGTAGTCTTCATATCTTAGAGACCATAGACATATAAAGGGTTCTTAAAAATAGTCTAGTCCTGCCAACCAGTTTGACAGTGCGGAACTGAACCCAGCTTTTTTTGAATTGTTGCTCAAAGTGAAACGGCTTGGGTTCCTGGCAGAACTAGGGCTCAAGTTTAGGGATTCCGACACTTAGAAAACGAAGCCCTTGAGCATTTTTTCCTAAAACACCCTGTGTAAGTGATTTAGAATGGTCTTAATGGGCGGAGATGCAAAATGGTGCGATCTTCTGCCCTAAGTTTGGCACTCAGGAACAGTAGTACGTATGGAGGGTGGGTAGCAAGAACATTGGAACTACAGGCAGCCCTTAACTTCAGTCCTGGTCTCCAGTGATAGTTCTAACACTAAAGAACCGCGTGCCCTTACCAAACGTGCTTAACTTCTTTGAGGGAAGGCAACTGGGACAAACCTGGTCAGTCAGACGGAGTTGTCCAATTACTCTGATCACTTTCCTTTCCCCACTTGAGAATTATAAACACTAAAGGGAATAATATATGGTAAATTACTTAGAATAATGCCCGTAGCATATTAAGGTTCCATATTCTCGTTGGTTATTATTATACTGCCAATCTTTGAGAGGCGGAGCGCACGCACAGTAACGCGCCAGACGCAAGCACTAACCCGAGGGCGCGCACCTTAAAGCGCGGGCACTGTGAATGAAACGCGCGCTGGTCCGGGCGTGACGTAATCAGGGGCAGGCCCGGCAGATGGGGGCGTTTGCTTCCGGGGGCAAAGGCGCTTTACTTCCGGGAGGAGCGGGCGGTCGGGGTAAGAGTGTTCTACCTCCCTGGGTCTCGGTCCCTGTAAGCCAGGCATGAAGATCACGAGGCAGAAACATGTCAAGAAGCATCTCGGCTTCTTCCGCAATAATTTCGGAGTTCGCGAGCCGTACCAGATCCTGCTGGACGGTACCTTCTGTCAGGCGGCGCTGCGCGGCCGTATCCAGCTGCGGGAGCAGCTGCCCCGCTACCTCATGGGCGAGACACAGCTGTGCACCACCAGGTGGGCCAGGCGGGTCCGGGGAGGAGGCCCGGGGATCCCGCGGGTGTGGTAGAGGCGAGGCCACGACGTGCAAAACGCCCCACCCACGAGGAGTTGACAGTGAAGTGGAGGCGCTAAGGAGGTCAGGCGAGTGCCTGCAATGTAGGTAGAAAGTAACATTGCCCTGCAAATACTCGCTTCGTTGGCCTGGCAGATAAGACCAGTGCTTTGTAGTGCGACCTGGCTTCGAATCTAGGTCCCAGTCCTACCAGCTTTGTGATTTTCTGCGAGTTAATCCCTGGGCCTTGGATTTCTCATCTGTAAGGAAGAGACCGTAACGAATAAAGTTGCTGTAAGGATCAAACGAGGTATAGTGTACGTAGGGCACTTGCTGGTATGCAAAACCCACCCCCTTTAAATGGCAGCTTTTTCTGGTGTAAATGAAAATTTTTCAAGCCTCACAACTGCCCTGTGAGGTAATATCTTCGATTTCCAGAAAGATAATTTAGAACTCGAGGTTAAGAGCTTGGCCCAGGGTCATTTGTTTATTCGGCTGTCTTTATGAAGTACCAGCCAGATGCCAGGCACTGCTCGAGCCGCTGAGGATAACTTGGTGAGCAGGACAGACTTCCAGCCCTCGTGGCCAGTAGAGTGCAGCAGTCACTCTCGATGGGTGTGTTGGCACTCCCTCAGTGTGGGAACACTTACGATGGAACCTCCTGGAGAGGGGAGGGGGGATGGAATCATGGCAGGTTTCATGAAGGAGGTAACTTTTGAGCCCAGTCACCTTTTGGTTCTGAGGGGAAGGACTATTTTGAGTGTCCGAAAAGAGAGAAATGACTTGTGGAGCCTCTTGAATAAAGAAATGGAGTTGTAAAATGCCTGGAAAAGAGGTTAGAGCACAGGGTATAATTGGAAGTGAAGCTGGGAAGAAGGTAAATCGAACTTACAACATGAACTACTAAGGAACGTAGGGGTTTTCCCCTTCATGGTCGATTATTTACTTTAAAAAAGTAGAAAAAGAAAATGAAAATGACCCATAATACCACACCAGTGAATTACCACTGTCAACGTGCTGTGTCATTCATCCAGTTCTTTATATGTACACATGCACACGCACACACACACACAGGAATGGGCTCTTACTGGGCACACAGTATCATTGGCCTGTTTTCTCACATAATACTTCTTCATGAACAGCTTTCCATAGTCAAGTAGCGCCTCAAAATGGTTATAGATACCCCACAGTTTTTTATCCCCTTAGCCTTTAGGGCTGCCAGACAAGTCCTTAGTTGGCTTGTGCCTGGAGTTCATCACTTCTGGCTATGCAAAACCTGTTCATTGACCCCTGTGTGCCATAGAAACAGTCGCATTTTTAATATAGTGCTATAACAAAAAAGCTTGGAAAGTACTGCATGAAATTACATTCTATAGCATTTTTTCCCTAAAGAATTTAACTTCCAGAATATTTTATACCTACACAAAAGTAGAGTAATATAATGAAATGTCTATCACCCAGCTTTGGAAATTACTGACATGGCCAGTCTTGTTTCATTTACCGCTCCCTCCTTCCCCCTGCCCACACACACACAGCCTACTGGTGGTTTATTTTAAAGCATATTACTCTGTCAGTTCTTGGTGTGCATTATGAAGAGATAAATGCTATCAGACCCAACAGCGGTCTCTCAGAAAAGCTAATGGTGTGAGGCCTAAGTTGGAGAAGCAAGAGCGTGAAGGCAGGCAAACTCATTTTGTGGTCGTCCAATCAAGAAATAATGGGAGCCTGAACTTCAGAGAGGGAGGGCAGGAACCCAAGGGTTCTACAAAGAGACATTATGAGATAGATAGCAACAGCCGAGATAGGACTAACAGCTGATGGAGTAGGGGTGGGGATAGGGGTGAAGAAGAAGGTCAGTTAGGATTTCTGACTTACACCCAGCGTCTGGGAAGCTCATATAGCCAAAGAGATAGCATGCCCTGGAGGAGAATTTTGGAGGCAGGGAAATACTTAGATTTTAGATGTGAATTTAAAGAGTTGATATATATCCCTAGGAAATATTCAAAAAATACTTGGCAGTTTGGGCCTGAAACTCCGAAAAAGAGTTCAGAACCGATGACTAGAAAGCAAAATCTCTTCTTAAACAAAAACTAAAGGGATGATAAAGAGAGTGAGGCAAGGTAGAGTCTGACAAGGGCTGGCTAGAGCTTAAGAAATTTTTGACTCAGTACTTAGAATTAATTAGTTCTTCCTTTCTTCCTTTCTGTGATGGAAGACGTGCCTGGGGAGCTTATTAAAATGCTAATATTTGGCTCCTCAAGAGGTGCGGATGTGGGAATGAGAAAGGAGTAGAAATTAATGTGATTATCACTATGTCATTTTGATATGGGTAGTTTTTAGCTGACACTTGGAAAAACACTGACTTATATTAATATGAAAATGCAGAGTGAAAAAGGAAGTTGTGATTGTTATTAAACTGACTTGAAAATTTTTACTTTTCTGTACTGAAAATAGTTTAAAGTGTACCAATTTGTACTTGAAGTAGAAGCATATAGCAGTAAGGTTGGGGCAAGGCATCTGTTGTCAACTACTTGGATTCACATTTCTACCACTTATTAGTTGTGTTTGAGCATGTTGCTTGAAATCTCTCAGAGTGGGGTGCTCTAAAATACGGGTAATTTTCAAGTAAGGTGCCTAACTCAGGGCTGGTTTGAGATTTAAGCAAGAAGTTATGTAAAGAGCAATTAGCATGCTGCCTGACACATAGTAAATGCTCAGTAAATTTTAACTGTGATTCCTTCTACTCAATGGTTGTATTTTCCAGGTTTTTTAAAGAGTGAACTGGCTGCCATATGATTGGGGCCAACACATGACAAATTCAGATTGTAATGGTATAGTTTTACTTTCTTAAAAATTGGGTATTTTTTTAATACTTGCTTTATGTGAACAACGATATGTATCTATAATAATTGTGAGCTGTTAATAACTTTTTTTTTTTTTCCAGGTGTGTGTTAAAAGAGTTAGAAACATTGGGAAAAGACTTATATGGGGCAAAACTGATTGCACAAAAATGCCAAGTCCGAAATTGTCCCCATTTCAAGAATGCTGTGAGTGGATCAGAATGTTTGCTCTCCATGGTTGAAGAGGGAAATCCTCATCATTATTTTGTGGCAACACAGGTGATACTGCTTTTAAAACCAGAGTCAATTTTAATCATTTCTATGCTTCGTATGGAGCTACATATAATCAGAAAAAATTAGGTGGAAGTGCTTTGTTAAAATGTCTCGACTTTTTAAAATGCAGGCTTTTAAGTTAATTTGCAGTCAGTGAAAGCAGTTGTCATTGGAGAATTTGAGAAGAGAACCTTAAGCATATTGATTTTTCTTCTTTCTGAAGTTTTTTTTAAGTAAAATTATTGACAGAGAGATGTGATTGTATGTTTCAGGGTTCTTGAAGGGAAAATAAGTAGAGCAAAGATTTTATCTGTGTTCATCAGCGTTTTCTCGTGTTCCTTTATTTCATATTTTTCCCTCAAAAAGTCATGTTTCATATTATTTGAAAAAGTGCTACCAATATGGAACTGTTTCTGACTTCTAAAGACCAGGAGGGGGAAAGAGAGACTCTCAGTGTTGATATTATCGAATGAGCTCATGTACATACAGATTTGCTTAAATACGCTTTTAGAATTATAAAATCACATGGTTAGATGCAGAGCTGAATCTAGAATGTGAGTCAGCTAATTCTTACTTTATTGCTATTCCTACAACCTCTGTTAACATTCTTAACCCTTTTTGAAGCATGTCTTAGAGTAGAAACATGGGACATTGCCTCCACATATTTACCATTGCCTTAGTTTGTAATTTGTGGTCCTAGAACATTGATAAGTGTAGTTCACATTGTTTTCACTTAACTGTGCTCAGATTTCATCTTTGTCTTCCTTTTTTAAAATTATAAAGTATATCCCCATTAGTGAGACATACTGATTTGAAAAGTAAAACTTGTGATCTCTTTTATTTTTACTACTTAAGGCATCTTATATAATTGGCATATTTGAACTAAACAATTCTATTTTTACTTTCAATAGGATCAGAATTTGTCTATGAAAGTAAAGAAAAAACCTGGAGTTCCACTCATGTTTATTATTCAGAACACTATAGTCTTGGACAAACCTTCTCCCAAAACTGTTGCTTTTGTTAAAGCAGTAGAGTCAGGTCAACTTGTCTCAGTGCACGAGAAACAAAGTATCAAGCAACTCAAAGAAGAACAGGGTTTAGTGAAAAACCCGGAACAGAGAAGAAGAAAAAAACACAAGAAAATAAGTGGCCCCAATCCTCTTAGCTGTTTGAAGAAAAAGAAGAAAGCACAGGATACAAAATCACCTGCCTCTGAAAAGAAAAGAAAAAGAAAAAGAATCCGGAACAGATCTACCTCAAAAGTACTTTCTGAAAAGCAGAATGATAAGGAATGAATTCCTTGAATACTTTTAAAGACATTCAAATGTGAAAAACAGATTTCTTTTTAAAACTGTGGAAGTACTTACAATAAAAGACTGCTATTTTTATAAATAAATATTGACCCATAAGCCTTTGCCTAAAATTATTTGTAGAAAGAAAGAAAGAGAAAGAAAAGAAAGAAAGAAAGAAAAAGAAAGAAAAGAAAAAAGAAGAAAAGAACAAACCAGGATGGATGGGTTTAGGCATTCTGGAGATTATTTTTCAGTGTAAAACTGTTGTTTCTTTCTGTCTTACCACTGCCCCTACCCCCCAACATTATATGCAAATAGTGTAAAAACAAATCATACAACAAAGGAAAACATTCACAGAGGAAAATTTCTTATTTAATTCATGTAGCAGTTGTAGAATTTATATTCCAAATAATAGGAGTATGCTGCTACCTTTTGGTCCATCGTCCAATTACTTGACTTTCTGTTAGAAAGTGGAAACTTTGCTTACTTGTATGACTCCATTTTTCTAATACAATAGTTCAGTCTTTATACATCCCAGATAAAATATTTGCATTTTATAACTATAAACTTTGTTCCCCACTGAACCAACCAAATCATAGCAATGCTATGATTTTTGTAAGAAATTTATTTCTTATACTACTTTGTTGTTATTCCAGAAGTTAATAATGTCCTCATTTTCTTTAAGCATCTGACTTGGTTTTGCCACATTTTCCAATAATTTTGTAAAGGAACTTACAATTTTCTATATGATAATATGGGATAATTCCTCACCCCTGGAGATACTTATCCTAGAGTCCTCTGTCCTCCGATGTGGAAAGGTTTTCTGCCACATATGTTGCTCACCTGTCATCCACACACTTCTTGCCCTTATCCAGAAATTTGCTTTGTCATTTCTGTTCCCTACATTCTTTGTTTTACTCTCTTGGTTTTCTTTTTTGCTGTCGTGAAGCAGGGATTGTGTAGGAAGTGCATTTTTTTTGAGGCTCAACCAGTGTTCGCCTCATATTTGTTGCATTAATTTAGCAAGATAATTCCTTTTAAAAAAAATTTTTTTAAAGTAATCTCTTATGCCCAACATGGGACTTGAACTCACAACCCTGAGATCAAGAGTTGCAAGCTCTACTGACTGAAGCAGCCAAGCTCCCCTAGCAAGATAATTCTTTTTTTTTTTTTAAGATTTTATTTATTTATTTGACAGAGACAGTGAGAGCAGGAACACAAGCAGGGGGAGTGGGAGAGGGAGAAGCAGACTTCCCACTGAGCAGGGAGCCCGGTGTGGGACTCCATCCCAGAACCCTGGGATCATGACCTGAGCCAAAGGCAGACGCTTAACGACTGAGCCACCCAGGCGCCCCCTAGCAAGATAATTCTTGATTAAAGATCATTTCACTCAGTTTCCCTAAAGAGTCTCTTAACTGTTTATAGGGTCCTGGGGGAAAAACAATTTTTTTGAGTTCCATTTGTCCACTAAGGAGGATGATTTTTAAAAGTGAATGTTAAATTCAATAGCAAAAATTCCAAAATAACACTCTTAAGATTGGCTACGAATGTTATTTAAAACGTGTCTAAAGGGTCATCAGAATTTTAACATTATGTAGTATATACATTTTAAGTTTTTTATTTTTTTATTTTTTTAAAGATTTTATTTATTTGACAGAGAGAGACAGTGAGAGCAGGAACACAGGGGGAGTGGGAGGGGGAGAAGCAGGCTTCCCGCTGAGCAGGGAGCCCGATGTGGGACTCGATCCCAGGACCCTGGGATCATGACCTGAGCCGAAGGCAGACGCTTAACGACTGAGCCACCCAGGCGCCCTACATTTTAAGTTTTTTAATAAAATGTCTAAAGGGCTGATTATATTAGGAATTGAATAATCAAACGTCTTTTTCAGCCTCTCCCCAATTGTTTGAGTTACTCATCAGACCAAAATTGCAATGTTTCTGTGCTATAATATTGAAGTATAAAGTTGGAAAAGTGGGAAGCTGATGATTAGCTCCTAACTTTGTGCTGCTTGGGACACCTTTGAGTAGTGGTTCTGAATCTATCATTAGGGTTTTATGATCAGGTATGAAGTACATCATGAACAAAGTCTCGTAATGGCTAAAATAAACGATCTTTCTCAAATTTGAGACCATTTCCATTTTCTACAGGAATATTTTCAGTTGAATTCAGAGATGCTTTTTTTGGGTAGAAAGTGAAGTTCTAGCCTTAAGTACACTAGGGGGCTCCCTGGGTGGCTCAGTTATCAAGTGTCTGCCTTTGGCTGGGGTCATGATCACAGGGTCCTGGGATCGAGCCCTGCATCAGGCTCCCTGCTTGGCGGAGGCCTGCTTCTCCCTCTCCCATTCCTGCTGCTTATGTTCCTTCTCTCGCTGTGTCTCTCTCTGTCAAATAAATAAATAAAATCTTTAAAAAAAAGTACACTAGGAATAACACACAGGTTGTGTTACCTAGCAAGTCAGGTTAGGGCTTGATTATCCTTTCATGATTCTGTTTTAAATTTTTAAAGGAACTTTTTTAAAAAGAAGGAAAAGATACTGGGAAAAAGCGAATATAGCTCTATAGTTTCTGTGAGGGGAAAAAAAATTGTCAAGAATGATGAGTTAGGGGGCACCTGGGTGGCTCAGTCCTAAGCGTCTGCCTTCAGCTCAGGTCATGATCCCAGAGTCCTGGGATGGAGCCCCGCATCGGGCTCCCTGCTCCGCGGGAAGCCTGCCTCTCCCTCTCCCACTCCCCCTGCTTGTGTTCCCCCTCTCGCTGTGTCTGTCTCTGTCAAATAAATAAATAAAATCTTTAAAAATAAATAAAAAGAGGGACGCCTGGGTGGCTCAGTCGGTTAAGCTTCTGCCTTTGGCTCAGGTCATGATCGCAGGGTCCTGGGATCGAGCCCCGCATCGGGCTCCCTGCTCAGCGGGGAGCCTGTTTTCCCTCTCCCTCTGCCTGCCTGCCTGTCTGCCTACTTGTGATCTCTCTCTCTCTCTGTCAAATAAATAAAATCTTAAAAAAATTAAAAATAAATAAATAAAAAGAATGATGAGCGTTAGGGGGGCACCTGGGTGGCTCAGTCGGTTAAGGGTCTGCCTTCAGCTCAGATGATGATCTCGGGGTCCCTGTATTGAGCCCCACTTCGGGCTCCTTGCTCAGCAGGGATTCTGCTTCTCCCTCTCCCTCTGTGCCGCCACCCCTCCCCGCCATGCACTTGTGCTCTCTCTCATAAATAAAATCTTTAAGAATGAGAGGATTACCAAATCAAATGCAGACAAAGTGATAAAGCAAGTGAAATGCACACTGATGATATTTTCAATATGCTAAAATGAATAAATTTTAGGTATTTGTCTTTTTAACAAGGATTATTGTGACTTATAATAAGTATATATATATTTGGTTTTTGTTCATGGTTGTTGGCTCGCAGATCCCAAAACTGTTGGAATTTCCTAAGTGATGAGAGTTTAAAGGTGTCTCTTATGTTAATGAGATGGTTTTGAAAAACATCTAAGGATGACAGCTGGTTACCTTTGGAACCAATCATGTGATTAGAGGGTTGGAACTTTCAGTCCCCACCCCACCCCCAACCTCTGCGGTGGCGGGGAGGGCGGGCGGGGGGGGGGATGAGGGGAAGGAGAATGGCCACTGATTTAATCAATCATGCTTATGTACTGAAGCCTCTATAAAATCCCACAGGGACAGGGTTTGGAGAGCTTCCAGGTTAATGAGTGGAGACTGGGGAGAGTGACCCACCTGGAGAGGGCTTGGAAATTCCTGCCTTTTCCCCATACCTTGCCCTATGCATCTCTTCCATCTGGCTGTTCCTGAGTTACATCATTTTATAATGAACTTGTAATGTAGTAAGTAAAATGTCTCTCTGAGTTCCTTGAGTCCTCTAGCAAGTTAATTTAATGGAGAAGAGTGTTGTGGGAACTTCTGATTTATAGCCAGAAGTCAGAAGCATGGATAACAGCCTGTATGGGTCTGAAGGGGCGAGGGGGCAGAGGAGGTGGCAGTTGAAGTACTGAACCCTTAACCTGTGGGATCTAATACTATCTCCCAGTAGATAATGCCAGAATTGAGTTGAATTGTAAGACGCCCAGCTGGGCACTGCTTATACGTGTAAGGTCTAAACCCCCAATACGCATTGAAATTGGGTCCAGGAAACCAAAATATTTATATTTATTCAGTGCTATCTGGTCACCTATTAATAGTGTCTGAACTGGAGAGCTAGAAAAGCCAACTTATTTTTATAAAATAGCAATTTTTAAATTAAAATATTAAAAATAATCTATTAGGATAATACATTATTTAATATTTTAAAACTGATTAGTCATATATATTTATATATTTATAAATTACTTTTAAAATATTTTAACAAAAGAATCTCATACCTTTGTAAAATTCTTTTGTGAATAGTACCGTCCTAACACCACCCCAGAAATCCTTAGCACTCCTTGCTTTTCTCCATATGACTCGGGGAAGGGCGCGTGGCACCATGGGATACATAGCGCAATCCATTTTGCAGGTTGGCAAAAAGAAAATGTTGAGAACCTCTGCTTTAGAGGGTAGCTACTAGCTTTGTTGGGGATAAACGTGGAGTCCATGTGCTTTTGAACTCTGAAGTTTGCCAGACTGAAAAATAGTGTTTCTGAAAACCACTGTTTTTTATGAACACTTCAAAAAAGTATTTGTAGTTGAGTTTGGGCAGGAGTCTGTATTCCCTATATTTTTGAAGCCCTGCAGCCATTTCTCATCCCCACGGGTATGTAAATTAAAACTAGAAGTCATTTCAGAGCAGCTGAGTTTCAAAAGTAAAATTTCCTGTTTTCTATTTATGCATAGACAGTAATTTATGTCTCTGCACCTGGTAAAGCAAGTTGTCTGTGATTTGACAGGTTAAAGAATAGATTTTCATGGGTGGATAGAATGAATAGTTTGTATTCTTTAAAATGTTTTTAAAAAAATGTCATCATACTATAGCTTTTAAGAGTTCTTAGTTTAGATGTAAATGAAAAAATACAAAAACTTGGTATAACTCTGTCTATATTTTTTGAGATCCAGAACTAATTAGGAATAAAGGCAAAAGAAGTGTCTGGACTGAGCATAGGAAGTGATTTCTTATATGATCCTAGATTGGTGGCCTCTGAA